TCATACATTTGTCCAAACCCATAGAACGTGTAACACCAAAATGACCCTAAGGTGAACTTCACTTTGGGTGATAATGCTGTCAGTATACGTACTCAGTTGTAACAAATATCACACTTTGATGGGGTATGTTGATAATGGCAGAAGCTATGCACCTGTGGGGGCAGGGGTTATATGTATGAAATCTTTGTACCTTGGGTCAGTTCTGTGAACCTAAAACTGCTCTTACAAAAAGTTTAAAACAAAACAGTCATTCTAGAATTTTGCAATTGTTGTAAATATCCTTCAAAAATGAAAGTGAAATGGAAACATCTTACATTGAACAAAATGAGAGGATTCCTGTCCGGTAGACCTGCACTATAAGAAAAACCAAAGAAATATTCAGGATATAGCATTCATCCCTTTAGGATAGAGGAAAAAAATACCAAATGAAAATTCAGATCTTTACAAGGAATGAAGAGCATCAGAAATAGTAAATTTGTAAGTTAAAATAAAATAACTTTTTCTTACTTTAAATTATGTAAGAAACAATTGACTTGAAATTTTTAAAATGTAGGGTTTATAACAGAAGAAAAACTTATGATAATGGTATGAAGGTGGGGAATTGCACAAAGGGAAGTATATTGTTGTAAGTTTCTTATATATATGAAGTTGTAGACTAATCGGATAAAAATGTACATTGTGAGCCCTAGAACACTCGTTAAGAAAATTAAACAAGGGATAACTAAAATATAATTAAGATAAAATTGAATAGTACAAAAATACATTTTTCCCCAAGTTTTATTTAAAATCCAGTTAGTTAACATACAATGTAATATTAGTTTCAGGTGTAGAATTCAGTGATTCAACACTTAGAGTACGCATTGCTCATCCCAACAAGTTGCACCCTTTATTCCCCATCACATATTTCACTCCTCCTCCACCCACCTCCCCTCTTGTAACCATCAGTTCTCTATAGTTAAGAATCTGTTTCTTGGTTTTTCTCACTCTCTTTTTCTTTTTTTTTTCCAAAAATACATGTTTAACCAACAGAAGTTAAGAAAGGAAGAATGAAGTATTAATAAGACAAAAAAAAAAAAAAGATGATTGATTCAACTATATGAATGTTAATTAAATACAAATGGATTAAACAATTAAAATCCAAAGATTATGTATCTGGATTTTAAGAAAAGATTTTATTTATTTGACAGAGAGATCACAAGTAGGCAGAGCAGTAGGCAGACAGAGAGGGGGAAGCAGGCTCCCTGCTGAGCAGAGAGTCCGGTGCAGGGCTCGATCCCAGGACCCTGAGATCATGACTTGGGCCGAAGGCAGAGGCTTAACCCGCTGAGCCACCCAGATGCCCCATATCTGGATTTTTTTTTTTAAACCCACAGACCTAAAAATTGAATTAAGAAAGCAATTCCATTTATAATAGCATCAAATCAGTTAAATACTTAGGAAAAATTGAACAAGAGAATGGTAAAAATTATACTCCAAAAACTACAAATCATTATTGAAAGATTAAAAAGGCCTCAATAAATGGAGAGATATTTTATGTCATGCATCATATGACTGACTATTGTTAAAAATGGCAATATTCCCTAACTTGATCTATAACTTAATCCAATTCCTATCCGATTCTGTCTAGCTGGTATCTTTGCAGAAATGGACAAATAATCCTAAAATTCATATAGAAATGCAAGGGATCCCAAATAGCCAAAGCAATCTTGAAAGAGAATAGCAAAGTTGGAGGATTTACACTTCCTCATTTCAAAACTTTATACAATGCTACAGTAATCAAAATGGCATGGTACTAGCATAAGGATAGACATAGAAATCAATAGAATAGAGCTAAGAGTCAGACATAAATCCTCATATATACAGTAAGTTTTCAACAAAAGTAACAAGACCATCCAATGGGGAAAGACTCGTCTTTTCAACAGATGGCTTTGGGACAGCTGGATACATGCAAAAGAATGTATTGGGTCGGGGGACGCCTGGGTGGCTCAGTTGTTAAGCATCTGCCTTCAGCTTGGGTCATGATCCCTGGGATCGAGCCCTACATCGGGCTCTCGGCTCGGCAGGGAGCCTGCTTCTCCCTCTCCACTCACCCTGCTTGTGTTCCCTCTCTGGCTGTCTCTCTCTGTCAAATAAATAAATAAAATCTTAAAAAAAAAAAAAAAAAAGAATGCATTGGGTCACTTGCCTCACACCATAGGTTTTATAAGATCTAAAGATTCTTTTAACTGTGGGACACAATACAGTGACATGTAGATAGATGAAAAGCAAAAGTCTTTCTTCCTTAGAACTCCGAATGAGAGAAAGCTGCTGTGTAGGCCACATGAGATCGCACCTGGGGACAAAGTAACAGCAAACTGGAGCTGTAGCGGGCAGCTTAGTGGGGCAAATGGGGTGGGGTTAGTTAGTTTTCATAGGCTCCCTTTAGATTGGCTAATCTGAATAATTCTGTGGGCTCTGGGACATATCGACTGTACCTGGTTGTCTGGTATCTATCTCTGGGGAAATTAGAGTGGGCACATAATGGCTCCAGAATGTGAGACTGTTAAGGGAAATGGTTGAGATGTGGACTTTATTAGTTGCTGGAGAAGAACTGACCAGCCTCTAGCCAGGGCCTCAGAACTGGGTCAAGACAGCATTTCACAAAACCCCCCAAAACCCTCAAATATTAAAATTAGAATGGGTCAAAGACCTAAATGTAAGAGCTAAAACTATAAAACTCTTGGGGAAAAAACAGGCATAAGTTTTCATGACCTTGAATTGGTCAATGGTTTCTTAGATTTAACACCAAAAGCACATGTAATAACACTGGGCTTCCTCAAAATTAAAAGGTTTTGCATAAAGACAACACACAGAATAAGGGAGAATATTTGCAAATCACATATCTGATAAGGCACTTAAATCCAGAGTGGTCAAAGAACTGTTACAGTTTGTTTTTATCCTTAATCTTCTGTCTGCTTGATGTATGAGATACTGAGAGCTATGCATGTTTGGTTTGCTTTTTATTTTTCTGTTAGGTACATGCAGAGTCAAGATTGTTTTGTCATCTTGGTGGATTGTTCATTTTATTTTTAGGTTGTATCTGTTCTTATTTATTTGGCATATTTCACTTTAAATTTTGAACACGTGGTTAAACTATCTCCAGGTTTGCTGATACGTGACCCATAGCTCCTACCTTAAATTGCATGGTTTCTGTCCTGGCCAGCCCCTGCCCAAAGACTTGGGTATGGCCAGCTCTACTTTAGGAATCTATCTGGTCATGCTCTACCCTAAACAAAGACACTCCTCTCAGGTGACATGGGTTATCTCCCAGACATTGAAGCAAGACCTCTCTTAAGACAAAGCCAAATTCTTTACTAGTACACATATATGTAAATTTTATAAGTTTATTTCAGGATTTGGAGGAACATGTGCTGAACTGAGGATAGTAGTTCATTCACTGTGGAGAAAAGAGAGTGGTGCTAGTAAAAGGGTACTCAGCTTTATCTGTATGTTTAAATTTTCATGTACTGCATAATTTAATTACTTTAAAATGAAAAGACTAACTCAGACTAACTTTGGGAAAATGGAAAGAGAAGTTACATTCAATTAAATGAAATTCATTATATCCAGATATGGAAAGATAAGCCATCAGGAGGAATTCCACTGTTCTGAAAAAGATGAGAGTAGACCAGTTATTTCAAGATACATGAAGTAACCATGGTTATGGTCTGGGCCTAACTTTGATATAGCTATCAAGTTTAAAATGAAACGTCAGGAATGTGTAAATAATAGAATGTATATTTTACTTATAGTAATCTAGTATCCTCCTTGTCAGTTGTTTGTCAAGTTTTAGAATTTAGTATGTAATCCTTGGCTCACTGAAAATCAGATTCTATAAATATGAACATTTGTTAAATCTACATGTTGGGTACATGGGTGTTATATTCTCTGTGCTTTTTTTATGTTTAGAATGCCATTAGGTTATTAAACTCCAGAGTGATTTATAACTGCCTAGGAATAGAGGATTTTGTATACCTTCCCATCCATTTATTGGGTTCTTAGCCTAAGAAGGATGACTTTCCAAGATAGAGGAGCATCACTCTTTCATCAAATATATAGAAACACATTTGCTTCTTTTCAAGACTGCCAATAATATGAAGGAAGTAGAAATGATTTAGAAGAGTTATAAAATTATAAATGTTTGGATTTTTTAGAATGGGAAAAAAAAACATTTTGGTGGCAATTTCTTAGTAATTTACATGAAAATATGAAGTTTTAATCTCAAAGGTGGTTTGGCAGGTGGGAGCTTTGGGGATCCAGAGGAGCACTCCTATCTTTTGAGTATGTACTATAACCTGTGTCATATACTGCTAAGATCTTCTTTTTTTTTTCTTTTTAAAGATTTTATTTATTTATTTGACAGAGATCACAAGTAGCCAGAGAGGCAGACAGGGGTGGGGGGGGAGCAGGAAAGGGAGCAGGCTCCCTGCTGAGCAGAGAGCCAGATGCGGGGCTCGATCCCAGGACCCTGGGATCATGACCTGAGCTGAAGGCAGAGGCTTAACCCACTGAGACACCCCAGGCACCTCCTGCTAAGATCTTCTTATCTGGTTTCTCATTTTAATCTCTTGCCCATTTATATAGGCCTCATCTCTCTATAATAAATTATTATAAATTAGGAACTCAGAGCTCTTAAGAAAAAAGAGTATGTGCAGTATCACCAATAGTACCACTAAGAGAAAGTATCAAGTGTGACATACATTTATTAGGTTATAAGGAGTAATGTTTACTAATGGTGAAAATTCTTAAGCACTGTGGTTGCTCACCTATGAGAATTTGCCGACTTCTTTTTCCTCTCTGGAAGCAGTAAACTTATTTTTGTGATGGTTTAAGAATGACTCTGCCCGAAGGCAGAGGAGATAGACCTCATGAGCTTACCAAGTTTCTTCTACGTTTTAAGATCCTGTAGTTCGGTGTTTTTGTGATCTTGATCCTGTTTTTATTTATTTCCTTTTCTCCAGGTGGATGATATAAATGCAGCTGTGATGGATTTGAAAGAGAAGAAGATTCGTAGTCTAAGTGAAGAGGCCAAAATAGGAGCACATGGAAAGCCAGTGATTTTTCTCCATCCTAAAGACTGTGGTGGTGTTCTTGTGGAATTGGAGCAAGCTTGATTTATATTTGCAAGAAACTTTAAAAATCCCCACCAAAATATACTGAAAATCCCCAACGAATTATACTCCAGCATTGAATCCTTCACTCCTTCCATCACTTAAAAGTTCACAATTAAAGGGGCACCTGACTGACTCAGTCAGCAAGGTGTGTGACTCTTTATCTCAGGGTGGTGAGTTCAAGCCCATGTTGGGTGTGGAGATTACTTAAAAATAAAATCTTTTTAAAAAGTTCAAAATCAAAAATTAAATTACAGGGGTGCCTGGGTGGCTCAGTCGGTTAAGCGTCTGCCTTTGGCCCAGGTCATGATCCCGGGGTCCTGGGATCAGGCCCCAGGTGAGGCTCCCTGCTCAGCGGGGAGTTTGTTTCTCTCTCTCTCTCTCTCTCTGCCCCTCCACCCACTTGTGCTCTCTCTCCCAAATAAATGGATAAAATCTTTTAAAAAAAGCAACCTAAATTACAGAAAGAGATTTTTTAAATTGTATATATATATAATATTTATCAATATATATAATTGACATATTTGTTAATTACTTTGGGTTTTTTTCTGATTTGGAGGAATCCTTGATTAATAAATACATAGGGAATATTGTTAAAATCATATTCATAGAAATAAACTATTCTTGTCCAAAATGGGGTAATTGACTACAGTATGTTTCTGTGTGAGAGTGTGTGTATCTGCATGCTTGCACGTGTGTGTGTGAGTTGGGATGGAGCTATGAAAGGGTGCCTGGCAGTTGCATAGCTACATATTTGGGACAAAGTGCTTTCTGAGGATGTTATGGAGAGTTTTTTACACTGATGTTAAGGAGTTTCAACCTCAAAAGTTTTTGCTCTTCTAGAACAATTCTTGTTCACCAGTTCCATATGGGCAGGTATTTTGGGTGCTAATGCTAGATATAGGAATAAGAAATTTTGTGGAAAATGTCATTCATGATCTAGTGAGTGCATAGGTAGCTGATTTTTTAAATTCTTTATTTAAATTCAGTTTAGTTAACATATACCGTATGATTAGTTTCAGGGGTAAAATTTAGTAATTCACCAGTTTCATATAACACCAGTAGCCATTACATAAAGTGCCCTCCTTAATGCCCATCAACCAATTATCCCTTGCCCCCATCCACATTCCCTCCAGCAACACTGTTTGTTTCCTACAGTTTAGTGTCTCTTATCGTTTGCTTCCTTCTCTGTTTTCATCTTATTTTATTTTTTCTTTACTTACCCTATTCTCATCTTTTTTGTTTCTTAAATCCCACATATGAGTGAAATTATATGGTATTTGTCTTTCTCTGACTGACTTATTTCAGTTAGCATAATACCCTCTACTCCCATCCATGTCACTGCAAATGGCAAGATTTCATTCTTTTTGATGGCTGAGTAATATTCCATTGTATATACACACCACATCTTTATCTGTTCATTTGTTGATGGACATTTGGGCTCTTGTTGATGGATATCTGGGCTCTTTCTGTAGTTTGGCTATTGTGGACACTGCTGCTATAAACATTGGGGTGCAGGTGCCCCTTCAGATCACTATGTTTGTGTCCTTTGGGTAAATACCTACTAGTGCAATTGCTGGGTTCTAGGGTAGCTCTATTTTTAGCTTTTTGAGGAAACTCCATACTGTTTTCCACAGTGGCTGTACCCACTTGAATTCCCACCAGCAGAGTAAGAGGGTTCTTCTTTCTTAACATCCTTGCCAACATCTGTCGTTTCCTGAGTTCTTAATTTTAGCCATTTTGACCAGTGTAAGGTTGTATCTTACTGTGGTTTTGAGTTGTATTTCCCCGATGCTGGATGATGTTGAGCATTTTTTCATGTGTCTGTTGGCCATTTGTATGTCTTCTTTGGAGAAATGTCTGTTCCTTTCTTCTGCCCATTTCCTGATTGGATTATTTGTTTTTTGGCTGTTGACTTTGATAAGTTTTTTTTAATAGATTTTGGATATTAACCCTTTATCAGATAAGTTATTTGCAAATATCTTCTCCCATTTGTAGGTTGCCTCTTAGTTTTATTGATTGTTTCCTTCACTGTGCAGAAGTTTTTTATCTTGATGAAGTCCCAATAGTTAATTTTTGCTTTTGTTTCCCTTGCTACAGCCAAGGTCAAAGAGGTTTCTGCCTGTGTTCACCTCTAGGGTCTTGATGGTTTCCTGTCTCACATTTAGGTCTTTAATCCATTTTGAATTTATTTCGTGTGTGGTATAAGAAAGTGGTCCAGTTTCATTCTTCTGCATGTGGCTGTCCAGTTTTCCAAACACCATTTGTTGAAGAGACTCTCTTTCTTCCCTTGGATATTCTTTCTAGCTTTGTTGAAGATGAGTTGACGATAAAGTTGAGGGTTCATTTCTGAGTTCTCTGTTCTGTTCCACTGATCTATGTGTCTGTTTTTGTGCCAGTACCATACCGTCTTGATGAATACCCCTTTGTAATACAGCTTGAAGTCCAGAATCATGATGCTTCCAGCTTTGGTTTACTTTTTCAATATTCCTATGATTATTTAGGGTCTTTTCTGGTTTCATACAAATTTTACGATTGTTTATTCCAGTTTTGTGAAAAATGTTGATGGTATTTTGATAGGGATTGCATTAAATGTACAGATTGCTTTGGGTAGTGTAGACATGTTAACAATGTTTGTTCTTCCGATCCATGAGCATGGAATGTCTTCCCATTTCTTTTTGTCCTCTTCAATGTCTTTCATAAGTGTGCTATAGTTTTGGAAGTATAGATCCTTTACCTCTTTGGTGAGGTTTACTCCTAGGTATCTTACAGTTTTTGATGCAATTGTAAATGGGATTATTTCCTTGATTTCTCTTCTGCCTTATTGTTAGTGTATAGAAATGCAACAGATCTCTGTACATTGATTTTATATCCTGCAACTTTGCTGAATTCAACTTTGCTGAATTCCTGTATGAGTTCTAGCAATTTTTGGGTGGAGTCTTTTGGGTTTTCTACCTAGAGTATCATGTCATCTTGCAAATAGTGAGACTTTGACTTCTTTGCTGACTTGGATTTCTTTTATTTCTTTTTGTTGTCTAACTGCTGAGGCCAGGACTTCCAGTACTATGTTGAACAACAGTGGTGAGAGTAGAGATCCCTGTCCTGTTCCTGACCTTAGAGGACAACCTCTCAGTTTTTCCCCGTTGAGGAAGATATTCGCTGTGAGTTTTTCATATATGCCTTTTGTGATATTGAGGTATGTTCCCTCTATCCCTATATAGCAGAGTTTTTATCAAGAAAGGATATAGTAGGGGCTCCTGGGTGGCTCAGTTGTTAAGCATCTGCCTTCAGCTCAAGTCATGATCCTGGGGTCCTGGGATTGAGCCCTGTGTCAGGCTCCCTGCTCAGTGTCTGCTTCTTCCTGTCCCTCTGCCCCTCCCCTCCACTTGTGCTCTCTCTTGTGCACTTGTGCTCTGTCTCGTGCACTTGTGCTCTGTCTCAAATAAATAAATAAAATCTTTTTTTTAAAAAGGGAAGGATAAAAAAAAGGGAGGGATGCTGTATTTTGTTAAATGCTTTTTCTGTACCTATTGAGAGGATTGTATGGTTCTAGTCCTTTCTTTTATTAATGTGGTATATCACATTGATTGATCTGTGGTTGTTGAACCACCCTTGCAGCCAAGGAATAAATCCTACTTGGTCATGGTGAATAAACATTTTAATATACTTTTGGGTCCTACTAGCTAGTATCTTATTGAGAATTTTTACATCCATGTTCACAAGGGATATTGGTCTGCAATTCTCCTTTTTAGTTGGATCTTTGTCTGGTTTTGGGTTCAAGGTAATTTTGGCCTCATAGAATGATTTTGGAAGTTTCCCTTCCATTTTTATTTTTTGGAACAGTTTCAGAAGAATAAGTATTCCTTCTTCTTTAAATGTTTGGTAGAATTCCCCTGGGAAGCCATCCTGCCCTGGAATCTTGTTTGTTGGGAGATTTTTTTTATTACTGCTTCAATTTCCTTCCTGGTTATAGGTCTGTTCAGGTCTTCCATTTCTTCCTGTTTCAATTTGGGTAGTTTATGTGTTTCTAGGAATGCACCCATTTCTTCCAGATTGCTTAATTTATTGGCATATAATTGCTCATAATATTCTCTTATAATTGTATTTCTTTTTTTTTTCTTTTTTTTTTTTTAAAGATTTTATTTATTGAGCAGAGAGCCCGATGTGGGGCTCAATCCCACGACCCTGAGATCATGACCTGAGCCCGAGGCAGAGGCTTTAACCCACTGAGCCACCCAGGCGCCCTGTTATAGTTGTATTTCTTCAGTGTTAGTTGTGATCTCTCCTCTTCATGATTTCATTTATTTGGGCCCTTTCTCTTTTCTTTTTGGTAAGTCTGGCTGGGGGGGGGGGGGCGGTTATAGATCTTATTAATTCTTTTGAAGAAACAGCTTCTAGTTTCATTGATCTGTTCTACTGGTTTTTAAAACTTCTGTATCATTATATTTATGCTCTAATCTTTATTATTTCTTTTCTGCTGGACTTAGGCTTTATTTGCTCTTCTTTTTCCAGCTCCTTTAGGTATAAAGTTTAGTTGTGTATTTGAGACTTTTCTTGTTTCTTAAGAAAGGCCTATATTGCAATATACTTCCCTCCTAGGACTGCCTTTGCTGCATCCCAAAGTTTCTGAACTGTCATGTTTTCATTTTCATTTGCTTCCATGTTTTTTTAAAAATTCTTTCTTAATTTCCTGATTGACCCATTCATTCTTTAGTAGGATGCCCTTTAACTTCCATGTATTTGTGGTCCTTCCAAATTTTTTCTTGTAGTTGACCTCAAGTTTTAAAGCATTGTGGTCTGTAAATATGCAGGAGATAATCTCATTCTTTTGGTACTAGTTGAGACCAGATTTGTGACCCAGTATGTGCTCTATTCTGGAGAATGTTTCATATGTACTCCAGAAAAATGTGAATTCTGCTGGTTTAGAATGCAATGCTCTGAATATACCTGTCAAGTCCATCTGATCCAGTGTGTCATTCAAAGTCCTTGTTTCCTTCTGCTTAGATGATCTGTCCATTGCTGTTAAAGTCCCCTACTATTATTGTTATTCATGAGTTTTAATTTTGTTATTAATTGGTTTATTTATTCGTGTGCTCCCAAATTAGGGACATAAATATTTACAATTGCAAAATCTTCTTGTTGGACAGACCCTTTTATTATGATATAGCGTCCTTCTTCATCTCTCATTACAGTCTTTGGTTTAAAATCTAGTTTGTCTGATATAAGGATTGATTCTCCAGCTTTCTTTCAATGTCCATTGGCATGATAATGGTTCTCCATCCCTCACTTTCAATCTAAAGGTGACTTTATGTCTAAAATGTGTCTCCTGTAAAATTGATGAGTCTTGTTTTCTTATTATTTCTGATACCCTCTATCTATTGTTTGGAGCTTTTAGTACATTTACATTCAGAGTAATTATTAAAAGATATGAATTTCATGCCATTGTATTACCTGTAAAGTTGCTGTTCCTATAGATTCTCCCTGTTCCTTTCTGGCTTTGTTACTTTTCAGCTCTCTCTT